GCAGTCTCTGGTCCATCCCTGTACTGTGTCCGCAGTCTCTGGTCATTCCCTGTACTGTGTCCGCAGTCTCTGGTCATCCCTGTACTGCGTCCGCAGTCTCTGGTCATCCCTGTACTGTCCGCAGTCTCTGGTCATCCCTGTGCTGTGTCTGCAGTCTCTGGTCATCCCTGTACTGTGTCTTGCAGTCTCTGGTCATCCCTGTACTGTGTCTGCAGTCTCTGGTCTATCCCTGTACTGTCTCGCAGTCTCTGGTCATCCTGTACTGTTGCAGTCTTGGACTTAACATCCAGTTGCTTTATCTGTTTCCTGTCCAAAATTTTATGACGCTGGCCAGCATTTGGAATGTCCACGATAAAGAAACTCACACTGACAACCTTTGGTCTGTGAAAACTTCTCTCTAATTTATTGAAATGAAACCGTGAGCTTATATATGAAAAATGATGCGAACATCACGTGATAAACAGCATAAGCATTATATTAGTCTTTGATTGGTCACTTTTATCCACGAAAAACAATCTCCGTCATGGTATAGGTGTGATCTTCTTCAGTCTTATCTTAAAAAAGAGAAAAACATTCTTTTGTCTTCCAAATCACACGATGGGAGGGGGTCTGTTCCTGTGAGCAAATATTTCTTAAGCAAGGATTTCTTAAAGTACCACAAAGCCCAGCAGGCAGAAAAATATTCACACAAACATATGTATTAAAGTATAAAAGTAAATATTTATAAAAACTTATGTGAAATAGCGTATATATATATATTCCAATAGGAAACGAAATAGGCATTTTACCCCCAAATCCATCACAATCCCTGTACTGTCCGCAGTCTCTGGTCATCCCTGTACTGTGTCCGCAAGCCTCTGGTTATCCCTGTACTGTGTCCGCAGTCTCTGGTCATCTCCTGTACTGTGTCCGCAGTCTCTGGTCATCCCTGTACTGTCCGCAGTCTCTGGTCATCTCCTGTACTGTGTCCGCAGTCTCTGGTCATCTCCTGTACTGTGTCCGCAGTCTCTGGTCATCCCTGTACTGTGTCCGCAGTCTCTGGTCATCCCTGTACTGTGTCCGACAGTCTCTGGTCATCCCTGTACTGTGTCCGCAGTCTCTGGTCATCCCTGTACTGTGTCCCGCAGTCTCCTGGTCATCCCTGTACTGTGTCCGCAGTCTCTGGTCATCACCTGTACTGTGTCCGCAGTCTCTGGTCATCCCTGTACTGTGTCCGCAGTCTCTGGTCATCATCCCTGTACTGTGTCCGCAGTCTCTGGTCATCCCTGTACTGTTAATTAGTTTGCACTACTGTACGAGTTGTTTTTTCTAAACCAAAAGCTCGATATTCAGGTTTCATTGCAGTGTTGGCACTTTGAAAGAAATAAGTGGTTTTGGGTTGCAGTTTGGGCACTCGGCCTCAAAAAGGTTCGCCATCACTGCCCTATATGTTGGCTATTTCTGCTAAATGTTTTACCCCCGTTTAAATTAGATTGTTGCAAATAAGTGTATAAGCAGTCTTTAACATTTTGTGTTGGAATGATTTGGAACATTGTAACATTTCATGAATTTACAGAAAGTTTGCCTTTTCTCCTACTAAATTGAATATATTTTTCGTTTATACAGGAGCTGAAAATTAAAAAGGGAAAACAAGTCATATCTGAAAAGACAGAAAATGAAACAAGGCTAAGAATAGTGGTTTTGCTTTTTGGATTAATTGGATTAAGCATGTCTGTGGTAGTTTTGTTGATTAAAAATGTCCAATGAAATTGTGCATACCTGTTTGCCTGATTTGTTGACAGTAGAGGAGCAGCTCAAAGTGTATGCAGTTACCAGTATTTGAATTATCCTGTACAAATTGAAAATATTGATTTATTCTTCCCTTTTAGCTCTTTGGAATTGCCATATACCATACCCTTGGAAAACAAACAGCTTAAAAACTTCTCCAAAATTGCTGTACAGCATTCATTAGGAAGTAGCTCAAAACCAAGAAATTTGCAGAAACCACGGGGTAAATATTAGTGTCAAAATTATTTTCTTTTTTTTTTTTTCTTAATGAAGTGCTTGCAAGTTGTTACTAACAACCATGGGATTTTTCTAGATCTGCACGGACTACCTAGTGGCAGCTTTTCATTGAGCATGGCATGTTAATGTTTTGTGCAGGTGCAAACAGTAAGTTAGGAGAGAACAGGCAATCAGTGCTGGCGAAGCTTCATCCTAGTCGTACTGGTCAGGAACTAGGCAGCACCAGCAGTTCTGAAGGAGAGAAAGACTCCCCACCTCCAGAGTGGGACTCTGTGCCAATTCACAAATCAGGAAGCTGTGAGTATGCTCCTTCATTGCACAGTCCTCTTAGACATCTAATGACCTTACACTTATATCTCAGTCACCGTCTTGTGTCCATAAAGTTACCTGTATGTTCGCATCTAACAGCTATTACATTAGCATAATTTGTATTGCTTATGTCACCAGTGTCCACTGATTTCCCTTCAATAAAACAATTGCTACCAGTGAATGTATGCTATGCTTTAATGGCAAAATGTAAACGATATATTTTAACTCCTGAAGGTATCTGAGGAGTTCTGTAGATTTAAGGTAGTTCAAGGTAATAACTATAATAGATGTTCAGCATAAAATGTAGTGAGTACCACTTTGATTGCGTGTTGTTTGCTCACCATTGCTTGTATTTGTCATGTAGGACGTGAAACTTGCAGTTCCCACCAGCTAGTTGCTTACCTTAAACTCATGCTGGAAAGTGTAGAATTACTATTGCATGTATCTGAATGTTTGTTTTTTAACCTAATATGGCTAGCTATCGGAACTACTTATATTTGTTCTATATTATGTTAATTAAATTTGATTGTATTACTACATGAGGAACCACCTAATTCTATAAACTAAATGGAGAAGTTCAGTTAAAGTGTTACTATGGCCAAAATAAAGCATTACATACAGTATATGATAAAGCCTGTCACTAGCAATTAACGCTGCAGTTTTTTTTCTAAGTCCCACTTGCATTATAGATTTATTACCTGTTGAACTTGCCAAGTAGATGAGTTATTTTCCATTTCCTGTGATAGGGTAACAGTGCTTTTACTTCAGAAATGAAATCACACAGCAGTGTTGTCACCCTCTGGATATGGTAGTTTAGATGGACATGTGTTTTTAAATGGACTATAAATGTGACCAATGAAAACCTAACTTTAGGTAGCCTTTTTTCAAATAAAGATTTAAGCCATATGAATAAAAGTTGAATTATATACCGTATATACTCGAGTATAAGCCGAGTTTTTCAGCACATTTTTTGTGCTGAAAAACGGCCCCCTCGGCTTATACTCGAGTCAACGTCTGCAGATGACATGCTGTCCCTGTCATCTGGACACACCCCCGGGATCAATCCTCGCCGGTGATTGGCCGCCGGAACTGTAGCTCAGGAGAGGCACACAGGCGCCCAATCACCGGCGAGGAGGTGGAGCTTTGAGAGGAGGAGCCGAGCGGGACCGCGAAGATCGAGCGAGTGAAGAGGAGGAGAGCGGCCGGAGAAGGAAGACATCTGACCGGTAAGTGTGTACCATGGGAGAGGGAGGGAGCGAGCGAGCCCAGGAGCAGGGGTCACCAACGATGGGGCACTATTTCTCCCCCCACTGACACCAACGATGAGGCACTATTCCTCCCACACTGACACCAATGATGGGGCACTATTCCTCCCCCCACTGACACCAACGATGGGGCAGTATTCCTCCCCCCCACTGACACCAACGATGGGGCAGTATTCCTCCCCCCCACTGACACCAACGATGGGGCAGTATTCCTCCCCCCCACTGACACCAACGATGGGGCAGTATTCCTCCCCCCCACTGACACCAACGATGGGGCAGTATTCCTCCCCCCCACTGACACCAACGATGGGGCAGTATTCCTCCCCCCCACTGACACCAACGATGGGGCAGTATTCCTCCCCCCCACTGACACCAACGATGGGGCAGTATTCCTCCCCCCCACTGACACCAACGATGGGGCAGTATTCCTCCCCCCCACTGACACCAACGATGGGGCAGTATTCCTCCCCCCCACTGACACCAACGATGGGGCAGTATTCCTCCCCCCCACTGACACCAACGATGGGGCAGTATTCCTCCCCCCCACTGACACCAACGATGGGGCAGTATTCCTCCCCCCCACTGACACCAACGATGGGGCAGTATTCCTCCCCCCCACTGACACCAACGATGGGGCAGTATTCCTCCCCCCCACTGACACCAACGATGGGGCAGTATTCCTCCCCCCCACTGACACCAACGATGGGGCAGTATTCCTCCCCCCCACTGACACCAACGATGGGGCAGTATTCCTCCCCCCCACTGACACCAACGATGGGGCAGTATTCCTCCCCCCCACTGACACCAACGATGGGGCAGTATTCCTCCCCCCCACTGACACCAACGATGGGGCAGTATTCCTCCCCCCCACTGACACCAACGATGGGGCAGTATTCCTCCCCCCCACTGACACCAACGATGGGGCAGTATTCCTCCCCCCCACTGACACCAACGATGGGGCAGTATCCTCCCCCCCCACTGACACCAACGATGGGGCAGTATTCCTCCCCCCCACTGACACCAACGATGGGGCAGTATTCCTCCCCCCCACTGACACCAACGATGGGGCAGTATTCCTCCCCCCCACTGACACCAACGATGGGGCAGTATTCCTCCCCCCCACTGACACCAACGATGGGGCAGTATTCCTCCCCCCCACTGACACCAACGATGGGGCAGTATTCCTCCCCCCCACTGACACCAACGATGGGGCAGTATTCCTCCCCCCCACTGACACCAACGATGGGGCAGTATTCCTCCCCCCCACTGACACCAACGATGGGGCAGTATTCCTCCCCCCCACTGACACCAACGATGGGGCAGTATTCCTCCCCCCCACTGACACCAACGATGGGGCAGTATTCCTCCCCCCCACTGACACCAACGATGGGGCAGTATTCCTCCCCCCCCCCACTGACACCAACGATGGGGCAGTATTCCTCCCCCCCACTGACACCAACGATGGGGCAGTATTCCTCCCCCCCACTGACACCAACGATGGGGCAGTATTCCTCCCCCCCACTGACACCAACGATGGGGCAGTATTCCTCCCCCCCACTGACACCAACGATGGGGCAGTATTCCTCCCCCCCACTGACACCAACGATGGGGCAGTATTCCTCCCCCCCACTGACACCAACGATGGGGCACTATTCCTCCCCCCACTGACACCAACGATGGGGCACTATTCCTCCCCCCTCGGCTTATACTCGAGTCAATAGTTTTTCCCAGTTTTTTGTGGTAAAATTAGGTACCTCGGCTTATATTCGGGTCGGCTTATACTCGAGTATATATGGTAATTAAAAATAATTCTGCTCTTGCCTAAAAAAAAGATAAAGCAGCTAACACTAAAATTTGTGATACCAAATTAAAAGATGAAAAGCAAAGGAGCATAGTGCTATACCCATACACTATATTAAAAAGTATATAATTGCAAATAATAAAAATTGTGATAAGCAATACATGAAGGCCAAACTGTCCCTATACATGCCAATCTGTAAACCATATCCAATATTTAACCAAAAGTACATATAGGGAACATATCCAAATAAAGTGCGAATTTTCCATATACTGACCAATCAATGAATAACAATTGATTCCCAGCCGTTTGAATCAGATTTGTTAATGTAAATTTCAAATTGTCCATACACTGACCAATTTGTGGGGAATGACTGATCCTTAATCGATTGAATCAGAATTCATGTATTAAACAGTATCCAACAATAGTGAACTCCCAGTGATCCACTAAAAAGTGAATTTCTGATTTTAACACTTGAAAAATTATCTACACACTCTGTAAAGTGACCTCCCATACTTCAAATAATCTGCAAACAAATCACCAAGCCTCTTACCGGAATATATTGACCATTAGATACAACATGATCAAATAGCCCTTTATATAAATAATGCCTCCAATGACAACCAGGTTCCGACATCTCTCCCCATTTGTAGGTACTGTAGGTAGCAAGTCAAAATAAGACAGAGTGCAAGCCATAGTATTTAAAAGGTGAACTGCTTTATTAAAGTGTTACTAAAGTATAATTATATTTTTTTCTAATTAAAATAACAAACATGTTATATTTACCCGCTTTGTGTAATGATACTGCACAGAGCGGGACCCGATCCTCCTCTTCTCAGGTCCCCCGGGGACCATCTTGGCTGCTCCTCTTCTTCGTGTCCCCCCATAGCAAGTTGTTTGCTACGGAGGCACAGGGTGTCTGCTTGCTCATGAGCTGTGTGTCTATGGAGCCACTCTCCATAGACTCACACAGTGGGACGTAGCAACTTCCTCCTGATTGCATTTGTTTGACATTGGCCCCTGCTGCTGCTCAAGTTGCTGTGTGAAGACGAAGAGAGGGGAGAAGGATGCAGCTGTGTACAGCACTGGATCTATTCTCCCAGGGAAGGGGGAGGACAGAGAGAGAGAAATGTTTGTTTCCTAATGCAATAAATGCACTAAAGTAAAAAAAAAAAATGTGTTTCACTTTTAAAGGTGTTTTTTGTTTTTGTTTTTTTTCTTTCTTTGTTTAATAACAAGCATATCATACCTGCTTTGTGAAGTGGTTTTCCACAGAGCAATTTTGATCCTCCTCTTCTTGGTTCCCCCGCCAGTGCTCCTGGGCCCTCCCTCCTGTCGAGTGCCCCCAGAGCAAGCAGCTTACTATGGGGGCACCCAAGCAGGCTCACACCCAAGCAACACTACTCTGCGTGTCCACTCCCACACAGAATGTGGCTCGCCCCTGATCTCTCCTCATTTTTTCACTGGTTATGATTGACAGTAGCGGGAACCAATAACTGCCACTGCTATCTCAGGTATTGAGGAGGGAGAGTCTCGGGAGAGCTGCTCTCGTGCACATCGCTGGGTCTAGAGGGGACACAGGTAAGTATTAAGGTGCTGGGGGGGCTGCTGCACAAAGAAGGTTATTTGCCTTGCATAGAATGCAAGAAGGTAAAAAATCCTTGCGCATTTAGAAAATGGAAAAATTATGGGTTTACTGGCAGGATCAGAAAACCAAAGAAATTGCTATGTTAATGTTATTAGTAGATTGCTTCATATATTATTTATATAATTTTTGCTTTGCACATTAGCTGCACTTTAGTTGGGTGTGTCTTTTAGGAAACAAAATGTGACCCATAAAAACGTATTCCTCTCAGTTCTGCCCAGTGTTTCATTTGAGATTGACATGCCTGACACAGCTGAAATGTGAATAGGATAAACCGCTATTCCTGAAGTGGTTGTTTCCTTTTCCTATTGAACCACAACCTACAAATAGCTGAATAATACATTATATACATATTTTAGTGCTTTCCAGTTTTTGTTAGTTTAGCAAAGTAGATGCATTCTTTGTTTTTTCTTCTTTTTATTGCTTGTTTTGACATGGTTTACGTGTGTTTGGCAGTGTGGAGCATGTAAGTTTATGGCGTGCTGTAAAATTTATTCCTCTATTGTGATTACAGCAGTAGATAGCCTTTACAAACTGTCTGTGCAAACCCACAACGCAGATGACTTCTTAAAACAACGACAGACCTCACCAGCCCCTACTCCTCCTTCACCTCCTCCACCTATGGGCTATGGATTAAGAAGCAGCTACAGCAGCATTGTAAACAGCACAAGCACTCAGTAAGTGTGATGGCTGGTCATAGGTGCAAACACCAGCCTTCCATTTCATAGTAAATCTCTGGTAAATATTTTTGCTCACTTTTTCACAATACAATAAAAAGGCAAACTTGAACATCCGTAACATGCTGCATGTACCAATTGTATTTATATAGGAATTGCAATATGTCTTATTTCAGAGTGCAATCTCACTTCCTGTGCTCCCACGGGAGTCCCCTGACTTTGGGGTGATTGGAAACCAAGGTATTGATGGGGTAGATGATTTACAGAACAGAGCATGCACGTGGCATAAAGTACGGTTTTCCCTTTTTGACATTATAAACTCTTCTGTGTACAGTCATAGCCAAAAATATTGGCACCCCTGCCTATCTGTCAGATAATGTACCTGTTTGCCCCGAAGAGTAAGGAACTCATTGATAGTTACAGGAAGCGATTGATTTCAGTTACTTTTACCAAGGGGTGTGCTACCAAATATTAAATTGAGGGTGCCAATACTTTTGTCCAGTCCGTTTTTGGAGTTTTGCGTAGAATGTGTCAGATTTGTCATTTTTTTGTTTCTCCACTTTTTTGTGTTATACCAATACAAACCAAATAAATAGACATGAGAATGCCTAAACCTGTGTTTTTTTTTTTTTTTTGTTCATATTTCATGTCTGAGGTGTACAACCACTTTAAGTTTTAATTTAGGCATGTGCAAGCATTCTCCTTAGCAGACTGCTCATTAAAACGAAGTTTTTAAAACAAAATACTTTAGTATAAACAAGAGTTTTATGAAGGTTTTAAACGCTTCACAAGCCACATAGCCATTAATAGAAAAACCGCAAGTCTAATTAGCTGTTTAAAGAACAGGTGCACTTTGCTAGTAATGTTGTTTGCAAGAAAATGTTTCTATTTTTCCAAAGTCAAGTGCATCTTGTTTAACCACTTCAAGTCCAGACAATTTTACCTCCTTCCTGTCCAGGCCAATTTTCAGCTTTCATTGCTATCACACTTTGAATGACAATTGCACGGTCATGCAACACTGTACCCATATGAATTTTTTTGAGACGGATAAAACTTTATTTTGGTGGTATTTATTCACCACTGGGATTTTTTTTTTTGCTATATAAATGAAAGTCCAAAAATTTTGAAAGTGTTTTTCTTCTAAAATTGTGTAAATAAATAATCTTTCTTCATAAATCTTGGCCAAAATTTATTCGTTTTATCTTTTTAGTAAAAAAAAACCCATATTAGTTTATAACTAAAGTATAATTTTTCAAAATTTGTTTTTTTTAATGTTGATTTTTTTGGTTTTTTTTTAACGTACGGTCACCCTAGCAGTACAGTGTCACCATAGTGACACTGTACTACTTGTGAGGGGGGGGGGGGGGGTGAAGATTTTTTTTTTTTTTTTTTTTTTCCCTACACTGATTGCTTTTACACCAATAAAGGCTGTAAAAGCAATCATTTCTCCTTCTATCTGGCTGCATTCTTGCAGCCATTGATAAATACTATGTGAGCTGTAATTGGTCCCAGCTTGTCACATGGTACAAGGCTGTTGTGAATAGCCTTGTACCATGTGACCTCTGTGATCATTCACAGATTTCACTAGTAGTAAGCAGTGATGTCAGAAGTGACATCTTGCTTACTACTATTCATGTGATCACTGATTGACCAATGAACGGGACCTCACACAGAGGTCCTGTACAACGATCTGTGTTCCGTTGTGTCCTCCGGGCACCGGATCGCGGTACTGCTCGCTCCCAGGGAGCGCGCACAAGCAGAGAAGCGGGAAGAACGTTTATAAATGGTCACCCGCCCCTGCACTGCTCCCATCGGGCCGTTTTATATAGGTGGGCCGGATGGGAAGTGGTTAACCTCTTCACACACCGCTTTCTGGCAGCTTTTTAAAATAGGCTTTAATGCAGTGAGGCAGCACAGCTTCTTAATCCTATAAATGCTGTGATCAGCTCTCACAGCAATCGTGATTGGGAGCCCATCCGCTTGCTCCCAATCAAAAGCTATGAGTGAGACCGGAGATGCATACCTCCAGATCATCATGGACCAATACATGCTGTGGCTGGGTGTAAGACCCACGTTGTATGCGACAACATATGTGTTTTGCTGTCAGGAAGATGTTAATCAGGCAGGACTGATCTTTAAAAAAAAATAATCATAAATAGTGATATTCTATGTATATTATATAAATAATATTCAGACATGCCTGTATATCTTATGTTTCTGACAGAACTAAAATAATCATATGCTGCTTTATTTTGTATACGGTATACTTTCTAGTTTTGTCACACCCCAGGTACTTGTGTGCTTTTTCCATGTGTGCTTGGGTACTGTATGCATCTTCTATGAAACTTCCACCTCCTATTTATAAAGGGTAGATGGATTTAAAATTCTATAGAAAATAATTTTATAACTTGTAAAATTACAAGTAGATCATTGCATGGTGTGCCAACAATAACAGAATATTTCCTTTCAGTGATTTAAGAAACACGTCTACTGTCACCAAGCACAAACTGACTAAAGCAGCTTCTTTACCTGGGAGGAATGGCAATCCAACATTTGCCGCTGTTGCTGCTGGGTATGATAAGAACCCAGGTACTAGCCACATTTTATCTCTACAGTCATGAATACTTTGTCTTCATCTTCCACCAAGTTGATCTGTTTACACGGTTTTATTTTTTCCTCTATCAAAACAGGTGGCAGCGGATTAGCCAGATCATCTGTTGCTAGAAGTGACATCCCTAACAGCATCAGCATGTCACAAAGTGCATCCATTGATAGTGATAACTCTGACAGGTAAACTAAGTTATGTACTGTGTTAGGTTAATTCAGCCATATATGGGCTATCTTAAGGTTTCCTTCAGTTGAAAGGGCAGTGGTTTTCCTCCCTAGTTAAAATGTAAATAAATAAATATCATCTGTCTCGTCTGTTCCTATAATTGGCTATATAGTTAACGCTCTGAATGATACTATTAACAATATTAGCTGTAATAATAAACACAATGCTCATGAAAGCAAAGGTGTTTTTTAGAAAGTAAAACCCTAACATAGAAATCTAAAAGAAGATAACAGAATTTATAGAAATAAGTCCGTCATCAAAAGTCTGTATCCTGGCTGGTCTCCAGGAAAAGGAGAGCAGGAACCATAGCCGTCCCTAGCATTTTATACCCTAAACAAGCAACACCCATGCTGATGCCCCCTGCATAGTCATCTGTCCAATGAGCAAAAAGCAGTAAACTATCAGGGAATATGTTGTCCTTGGTGTCCTCCAGCAGATGGCGTTGTTGCACAGCAGGCTAGTTCCTTGGTGTAGGGACACTAGCTGGCCCTTTGATCCTGCATTCCTTGAGATGAAAGAGATGCTCTCAGACCCTCTAATCTCCTTCTTCCCAGGAGGTCTGAGGTGATACTCTTGTATACACACACTTAAATATCTCTAAAATGTTTGATTTGTTTACCATACTTCCTGTTGTCAATCAAAACTGGGGAAAAAAATAGTTTTTTATTTTAAATGTGCTTTCTTTAATGAGAATATCATATGCCTGTTTTGCTTTCAGCTCTGGCTTGTGGAGTCCAATCAGCAGTCCCAACAGTCCTGACTATTCATTTTCTGCCTTTGGATCTAGCAATTCCTTCAACTTAACAGGAGGTCAGTACTTTCTGTACATAAGAATGTGGCAATTATGAATGGTTAAGAGGTATATACAAAGACTAGAGCTGTAGTTTTTGATGTACAATGTATATGGCAGTTGGAAAAGATGTCTCACCCTCTTGTGTTCTTAAAAGATACCAGAAGCCAGCATGTGACTTGCTGTTGCCACACGAAACAATGTTAATTTTGAGTGAAATGCTCTTTAAATTGGCCAACTGTCTTGACCCTGGTGGTGGTTTTGCTGAATCTGCTGTATTTATCCTGTACAGTCAGGCTGCATTCATGCCTGCACTTTTCCTAAAACGTGCGACAAAACAAATTCACAAAATCTTGCTGCATGTTTCAGAAACACACTGCAATCTCAGGTTGTACTTGCCTTGCCTTTAATTGTTTATGGCGCCCCAGATGTGCTTTGCCAAGTGACAAAACGTACTACAAACGTGTCAGAACATGCACTGAAAAAACACATGGTGCTCCACGATCAGAAAGATTCTGGAGCTACCTTGGGGGCATTTATCTTGCGCGGGACAGCCCATTGAAGTGAAGAGGCTGCCCTAGGTGTGACGCCTATTAATGCGTGAAAGACATGAAAAAACACTAACAGGAACGCGTGCTCCACTATGCTCAGACGTGAATGGGGCCACAGGCTTTTGTGGATTTCAAAGCTGCTCTGTATATAGTGCTGTGCATTGTATTTTTTGTTGTTGGCAAATGTAAATGCTGAGTTCAAAATAGTTATGGGATATATTTAAATCTGCAGAAGAGTGCTACAGTTACGTTAATCAGCTGCTTTTTTTTTTTTTTTAATTTCATGCATGTGATTTTATTGTATCCACCACAGAGGTCTTCAGCAAATTCTCTTTACCCCGAAGTACTTATACTCATGATCCCCAAAAGAAGTGGACAGATTTTGAGACCACAACTTCATTCTGGGATCATCCTGCCACAGATTCTGTGCCAACTTGGCCCACAAGTACTGGATCCCCAACCCATGTGACATCTGTGAGTATGTGGTGGGGGGGTGTATTTTTAGTTATATCTTTATCTGGTGGCCAAATCCTTAATCAATTCTAGCTATTTGTTCTACTGGACAAATCTGAACCCTAACTTCTAGATTTTGTGGCAAACTGAGAAGCCTGTTTACAGTGATCTTACACCAGTTAAAATCATCATTAATTGGTAGTCCTCTTACTACACAGGTTTCCTTTTTGCCCTCTTCATATGATAATGTTGAAAATCAGACATTTTTTAATTGACATTTTTCAGTTTTCAGCCTAATTACATTTTGTGGGTATAATCCCCTTTACACTATATTGTGTAGAGTTGTAGAATATAGTAAATGTCTGCATAATATCACCTCTGCTTTTCTAATGAGCACTGCCGACATTACAGGGACAATGCAGCTGGCCACAAATATATAAACCAGCAATAAGTCTGGAGCTTCTTTTAATGCAAGTTGATGAATTCATTGAAATTGCTTTTTCCACTAGTGAAGTTGTTAGAGACAAAATTAAAAGGCAACATTTCCGTTAGCACAGGAGTGGAAGACGCAATTTCCTTTTAGTCGTTTCATTAAATCTTTTTTGTAAGACGGGTCATCTTGTAGTTCATCAGTATATCATATTGCTCCTGTCCTGCCACTCTATGGGCATGCTGCGTAAGGCACGAGTGCTGAAACTCTTCTAGGGTTTCAGTCACAAGATTGCTCAATGCCACAGATGGCAGCTTATGTACACGTACAAATCATCGTAAATCCTGTATAACATCCAGAGTAATGAAGGCAGCTGGTGTCACATTTTCTTCACATTACCTTACATGCGTTAAGAACTGCATGTAAAAGCCATGAGCAGATGCTGCCTCTTCTCTAGAACTGTACGCGGTCAGCTTTTCTGCAGTTACAAACTCTCCTCTGCAATCACCCGTTAATAGCAGGGCAGATTTTAGAAAAAATCCATTGATGCTGTTGACATAACTTTTACACATATATGTACTTATAGATGCATCATGCAAATGTTGGAAGATGACATATTTAAACCAAAATGTAAAAACTATCATTTTTTACAAAAATACCATTGTTGGTATTAAATTCTTTGAAAACCATTTTCTATAGGACAGTCCTCCATATCTTATTTAGTCACGATTTTTGCCCTAAAAGAAGGGTTCCTAGGGAAAAAGTGAACTTTTAGTGCATCCTAGTAAAAAAACATGGATCCTGTATACCACTTCAGCAGGCTTTGAGGTGAATTCGGTCTTAACACTTTTTTCTTCCTTTTTGTACAAAACTGAAACCTCCCTCTCCCCTCCCTTCTTTTTCACCTTTTTTTTCGCCTCCATTTCCTCCCTTGCCTTCTTTTTTATTTCCCTAATTCCTAGTTTGTAAATTCAGATGCGCCATCATTAACATTCTCTTCTCCCTCTGAAAAGTCCCCCTCTCCTTTTCTCTTCCCTTTTTTCTGCTTTCTCCCTTCCCCTCCCCTTTTCATTTTTTATATATCTATTTGATGAACATCCAATCAGGTAGTCATATATCTGATCAATTCTATCTCAGTCATTTTTCACATGGGTCACATAAATATAAAGTTATTTTTATAACTTTTTGGTTTCTAATAAAATTTAGGTGATAATTTTGAATAAAATTAGTTTGTATTAAGGGTGGTTTATATAACTTTAGAGTATTTTTATGTACAGTATTTAATTTGTCTTTGTTTTTTTTTAATACAAGAGTGGTGAAGATTATGGGAACTGTAGGACTAAGTCTGGCAGGAGAAAACAAAGCTTATTGGTTGGTGAAAAAAAGGATACAGCTATTTAATTTGTTTTGGGACCAGTCCACATCATAACATAGTGCAAGAAATCTGTTTTCATGCACGTTTCCCGCACCACATTTAAAATGCACTGCACTTACAATCTACAACGGGTGTTTGTGTTAAAGAAGTACAGCCAAAGCTCCTGTGGATCACAGGAGTGCAGTTCGCTTTGCTCTCCTGTGGATCACAGGAGTGCAGTTCGCTTTGCTCTCCTGTGGATCACAGGAGTGCAGTTCGCTTTGCTCTCCTGTGGATCACAGGAGTGCAGTTCGCTTTGCTCTCCTGTGGATCACAGGAGTGCAGTTCGCTTTGCTCTCCTGTGGATCACAGGAGTGCAGTTCGCTTTGCTCTCCTGTGGATCACAGGAGTGCAGTTCGCTTTGCTCTCCTGTGGATCACAGGAGTGCAGTTCGCTTTGCTCTCCTGTGGATCACAGGAGTGCAGTTCGCTTTGCTCTCCTGTGGATCACAGGAGTGCAGTTTGCTTTGCTCTCCTGTGGATCACAGGAGTGCAGTTCGCTTTGCTCTCCTGTGGATCACAGGAGTGCAGTTCGCTTTGCTCTCCTGTGGATCACAGGAGTGCAGTTCGCTTTGCTCTCCTGTGACCCGTTTTCATCCAGTTGCAAACTAAAGTCCGCTGTTGGCTGACGTCACTCCAGCCTGGAGAAAGATCCCAACTTTAAAGTCATGATCCACCCAGATGTCTGGACCAGCACCTGGCTCAGCCTCTTCAATCCGTTACGAGCCTGAGCCAGCCGCTCCCTCCTCCTCTACAGCCCAGCGCTTCAGTGAGCGCTGGGGGGCAGAGCAGAAAGCGGTGACTAACAGTCACCACTCTCCGCTCAGAGCAGCTTTGAGAACTGAGCAATCAGTGGTGTCTGACTGCTCAGTTTCTCCGCCTTAGAGCCAGCGGGGGACAGATGCGTCAACAGATCGATACTGCATCCACGTAGGTAAAAAAACTAAAATCTATACTTTTAACTTGGAAACATCCCAAACACAGTGCGGTTACCTGCACCAGATCACATGGTACAGTAGTACTATACAATCTTGTTGCTGTGCGTTTTTTTTTAAAGTAATACATGCACTACTTTTGGTGTAGTCCTGCGCAATTTCAGCCCCAAAAAAACGAATGGGCTGAAATCTCACTGCACCAAGATTGCATATTAATTGCACAGAAACGCACAACGCGTTAACGTGCGATTCAGGGTGTGAACTGGCCGTAAGCATGTATATCATTATTGCGTAAAGCAACGGAATTACAAAGATTTCACAAATTTGTGTTCATTAGTTTACACAATCAGCAATCACAATAAGCCTACTAGTGATGATGAAAATACTTTACTTCTTCTTTTTAAAATGTATTCGTAAAATATTACATGTAAGAACAAAGCACTGTGCTTTCCCATCCAACAATTTGCAGAAGCAGATCGCTATTGTTTTACTTTTTCTTTCATGGGTATCTTGGATATTTTTAAAACAACTTTCATATTAAGAGCAGCAATTGATTTGGATTGTTAACAGGCCTCTATTACATTTTAATAGCAGCTTTAGTATAATGCTTGTGGTAAGGCTTTTTATCTGATGCAGTTGTTTTTTTTGTTTTTTTTGTTTCCAGCAATCCATCCTTGGCACTAGTAGCCTGTGGTCCACGCCATTCAGCAGTTCCATTTGGTCCAGTAATCCAAACACTTCTCTCCCATATACCGCTCCCCCCAACCCATTGCCAGTTATCGATCTGATGGGAGCTGAAAGCACATGCCCACCCCCCAACTCTCCTTCAGCTGCTCCCTCTCACAGCCCTGACAGCATGACTGGACAGACATATGATCCATGGAGTATATGGAGCCCAACCATCGGGAGAAGAAGTTCTGATCCTTGGTCCAATTCACACTTTCCACCTGATAAATAATGATCAAGCTGAAGATTTACAGTCATAATTGGAGTGTTACTGCTGCAATATCTGCCAATAATTTTATGAGGGGACATTATGTACCACTTTCTACTAGTCATTGTCAGTTCTTGGCTTTTTATTTTTTTTATTTTTATTGCCGACCCCAAAGTCTATTATTTTTAGGCCCATGACACCTCTCACTTTATTCAGATTTGGGATCTACTTTAAGAACAATAAATTGAGCATGGGCAAACCTATTCATTAGAAGAATATCACTTAACATAATATTAAGAAATAGCACGGGTACAAATTACTATCTCATTGTAAATTATTTATTTTTCAAATGTCCCATAAAGCCATCCCCTTATACATATCATACCATGGCCCTTCAAATATGTTTTTTCCCAGTGACCATATTTCTCAAGTATTATATTTCTAAGGAAAGGAAAATGAAAGTCATAGATAACAACAGTTGAGGATACAAACGCAATTTCCTTTTAAATGTAACTGTTTTGTATTCATGAACAAAATGCTAACTGCAGCCAAGAGCTCTGTGAATGCTCATATTGGGTTGCTCAGCGCTTTTTCCCGTTCCCTCAGTTCTCTAGCACAGTGCATTTTTTTAATATTAATTTTACAAGCTCTTTGTAATATCTTGTGAAAAAAAACAGGATTTGATGAGCAAGTCATACAACTTTGTGTTGTAATTTAAATAAATGAAGCACTTTTTTCACGAAGGGTTCTGCTGTGTATCATGTTTATGGTGACGTAAATAATGTAATTTAATGGCCTAAGTGAGATGCCAATATTGCAAGATGTCCACACTACAACCCCTACTCATACCAACATTGTCTGTGTCAGAAATGCCTCAAATGGGTGCAGAGAATTGTTGGGGACCACAGACGGAGTATGCAAGCTAAATCCATATAGTTAGTTTTCTCTCAGATCACCTTCATTCAGTGTTACAACATATTTACCAGTACTTTAGTATTGGAAAAAGCACTTTTCCATTACAGAAAAAAAAATCTCTGTGCATGCCTCTAAATACAGATTTCAAATGCATGCTAACCATTTTTTTCATATTGTAATTCTGTACAGCCAGTCTTGTGATCTCCACATTGCACAGGCAGTTGTCAGACTCTTCCTATTAAGCATTTTATCTTGGTGGCTCAGCAATCCAGCTTCCTAAGTTACCTAACTGAACAGAGAATCAGCATTGCCACCTCTGTGAATGGGGTTGGCTTAGGAAGAGGAATGCTAGACCATGGAACAGCAAAATTAACTTACTGCTTAACTGAGGTGTGTGTGTGTATAGCAAGCATGGCTAGTTCACTTATTTCTGCTTTGTATGTCATTATTTGCCTGGAGTTCCACT